TACTATTAATATTCATTCAAACATATATGTTAAACAAGAAATAACAAATTTACCTGATCCATTGGAATCGCCTGAGGACAAGCCATAATCATCCTACATACTGCTCCACACGCATTATCAGTAACATTTAATAATGACTGTCCTGTAAATAGAGGATGCAGCCTAGAAAGTATATCTCCATATTGGCTATTAATTAAATATAGTATGAGTTTTTTTTTGAAATATGCGTTATTAATGATATTAATTGATTATTCACCTACTAATGTCCAAACGTGTATGCTGACAAAGAAGCCCAACTGCGAATGCAGCGTTGCTTCGAACCTCTTCATCTTCATCAGCCAAAGCTTTTAGATACAAGGGCAAAAGTTGCTATAAAATAAAGACATTTTGTATAATCAATATATGCTTAAATCATGAAAATGATAAAATATTAACCTACATCAGTAAATTCTGAGACCCCGTCTTTTAAACCAATTGTGGTTTCTCCAAGACATCCAATTGCCATAGATCTCTCAGAAACTGGTTTTGTTTTTTTCTAAAAAATATTAACCGAAATTTTATAAACCAAAGTAAAATTACAATATAATTCAATAAAATCTTAAATGTCGAGCATACGTAATATTTGGCAATATGATGAATATACTCCTTGAAATAGGGAACAAAATCGTATCCAAGGACTAAAGCCATTGCTGCAACAAGATCTGATGCATTGCTTATAAGGAGCGAATCGTACTCTGCTTCATCATCGTCATCTAGTAAACCTTCATCGTCATCGTTATCTTGTTGGCATACGGCTTTTTTTTGGTAAAGCAAAAGAACATTTTCTGCAATCGGCCTTATATCTTATGGATTTCAAAAAATATATTGCATAAGACATATGATATGCATCACAAGCAATGATAACTAAGAGCACTTACAGTCAGCAATTATAGCAGGTCCACAGATTTTGATAGTATCAGCGAGTTCAGCACAAATTTGGATTACTACAATTCTTTAGAAGAGGAATAATATGTAATCAGACCCATTTTAACAATTTCAAATTATCATTGAAAATTGGCAATCAGTGTAATTTTGTCATTATCACATTAAAATCATAATGAGCTGGGTAGCAAAGTAAATCATCATATTATCAATCATAATAAATATTTCGTAATTTCTTACTTGCTTTCTTCGTCCTCCCACATGGTTAAAATCGTTGATAAGACGGCTTTGGCCATATTATACACATTTTCATGGATAGGGACTTTCTTTAAGTAGGAAAAAAAAAAAAAAAGTAAAAACAAAAATGTTAATATGCAATTTAATTAATTTTCGAAAAAAATCAATCGTAAAACGTACCACAGGCAAGCCAGGCTCCCATTTAGTCGGATTTGACATACTATAAAATGTAGCTAAAAAGCTAAATAAAGATCCAACTACCACTTTTCTTACAGTCTCCGAATGATGATTCGAAAGTTTTATCAACTCTTGGAGAGTCGATTCTACATATGGAAGAAAATGAGATCGCGTATTTTCAAATATTTCACCAATTGCTTCGGCAGCTATTTCTTTTTCATCAACCACGGCAGAACCTATGGTAATTTCGGTATCTTCCTCATCATCGATATCTAAATCACATGAAAGATCCTCTTCTTCTATTAAAGGTTAC